GGAGGCGAGCTGGCAGTGATGCTGCTCGCATGGACGCGCGCGGGCAGGGATGCCTGCATGATCTCACGGATAGCTCAAGGAGATTTGGACCGGGCAGTGATGCCTCGAGGATACGGGGCGTCATGCCTCACGTCAAGGAAGCGGCAAGGAGGGCGGGCAGTGATGCCTGATCTCCAAGATCCGATGCGTATAGGAGAGCTGGCAGTGATGCCAGCTCTCCACCTGAAGGATCGAGATCTGGCAGGGATGCCAGATCTTGAGGACGCGTGCGCTGGCAGTGATGCCAGTCTGGACGATGCATGAGGGAGGGCTGGCGGGGCTGCCAGATCTTCGGGATCCGCCGGCCGTGATGATGCCGTCCGAGGCGCGCCCAGTAAAGCTCGATCCTGCAATTGATGCATATATGTATATGAGCAGGCGTGCGATTTCATCATGTGATCGTTGCAAGCAGCCAGCTTTCCGGTCAGGTTGCATTTTGCTTGCTCGAGCATTCGGTGTTTGTTTCACCATGCCTGCCGGCCACAAGCCCTGTGACAAGCGCTCCTACATGCGCCAGCACTGGCTGCGGCTGGGAAAGCCGCAGGGTTCCTTCGTGACGTGGAGGGAAAGCTTAACGCCCGCACATCTGCAAGAATTGTTCGCGCACGACATGGAGAACGCAACTATGGAAATGCGCGCTGCTGTGCAGCGAGCACGTGGACAGGATGCAGCTGCGGAAGAAGAGTGTGAAGACGAAGAAGAAGAAGATGAGGAGGATGAGGAGGATCCCGTGGTGGAGCTGGCCGCGAAGACGGAAGCGGATCGCTTAGAGCGGCAAGCACTCATGGAGAGCCAAGCCAAGGAGGCCGCAAAGGAGGCGGCGGAGAAGAAAGCTGCAAAGGAAGCGGAGGAGAAGAAAGCTGCCAACGAGTCAGCGGAGGGAAAGAAAGCTGGCGCAGCGTCTGCGGAGGAGGAGAAGGCTGGCAAAGAATCCGCGAAGAAGAAGAAGAAGAAGAAGCGGGCAAAGAGCACAATGCCTGTGGCGGAAGCTGTGCCGGCCGACCCAGCCGAGCCGGCCGAGCCTGCCGAGAAGCGCCGCAAGCTTCGGAGGCTTGTCAGGGCCACGTCCAGCAAGAAAGCGGAGGATGCCGACGCCAGCAAGAGCCAGGCAGAGGATGCCGCTACTGCTGCCCCTGCCAGCAAGAAAGAGGGCGGCGCGGCCCATTTGAGCATCAAGGATGCGGCCCAGGATGCGGCCGAGGACGCCGACAAGAAGCAGGCTGCTGAGAAGCAGCAGGCGACTGTATCCGAGATGGAGAAGTTCGAACGTCGGTACGGCAGGTGGTGTAATGCCTGCCAGCGCAAGATCTATTGGGCCAAGTCGTACTACCGCGGCCCACCATGGGTCCACCTGAAGGACGCCGATATCTGGCACGCTCTCAAATGTCCCAATCTTTGGTGTGCGGAAAACGCTGCCCTCCGTACAGATTTGGGCAAGCACGGCATCGAGTTTCACATGCCACACTGGAAGTAGCAGGGGCTGACCTAGATCGAGCATTGCAAGCGTCTACGTGTGTAGGACATACGGGTAGCTGCAGACTCGGGAAAGCTAAGTCGTGAGTAGTGTGCACTCTTCCAGGCAGGCTAGCTTGCAGGAGCCATCGCTGAGCGGATGCAAGCAGTTGAAAGATTGCACGCGTGGAACGGCTTTGACAGCACATAGTGCATTGATGCACATACTTGTGCGCGCAGGCAACGTCATCGAGGAGTACGAGAAGTGGCTCGGTCCGAGCGGACAGAGCCGGAGCAAGCAGCAGAGATGCCGCAGGGGAAGGAATCGCGGCAGGGATGCTGCAGGGGAGAGGAGGCGCCCGTGGCAGGGATGCCCGGGAGGATGGGTGGCGGGCCTTACTCGTGTCGAGGCGCAGGTAGTGGCAGAGATGCCCAGAGACCACTTAACTGCACACACTGCTCTGTGCGGTTTTGCCAGGCTGGACGACCTGTGCTCTGGCCGTGAAGACCATGCAGCTCTAAGGAGGCACGTCAGGGTGCGGGCTCGGGTGAAGTGCGGAGGGTGAAGGGCTCATAGGGTTCATGGTTTTGCAGTTAGGGTAGCGGCTCCGGGTCTAGGGTTTGGCGTCTAGGGTTGAGGGTGTAGGCCCGAGGGTACTAGCGTGTAGGGTCTAGGGTTTTGCGTCTAGAGTTCAGGGTTTAGGGTTTAGGGTTTAGGGTTCAGGGTTTAGGGTTTAGGGTTTTGGGTTTGGGGTTGAGGGTTTAGGAATATATCCTAAGGGTTTAGGGTTTAGGGTTCAGGTTTTAGGGTTTAGGGTTTAGGGCTCAGGGTTTAGGGTTTGGGGTTTAGGGTTTAGGGTTTAGGAATATAACTCAGACCGTAACACCAAAGTCCTAACTACGATCACCGAAAGACTTAATCTATGAAGAAACCCTGCAGGATATATAAAAAGTATAACTGTTAAGTATGAAGCACAAACTCTACATACTTAAACATTAAGTAGCAGCTGTTAACATAAGAATGTGCTCAGCATAAAAGTATGAAGAGTGTAGTATAAATAATGATCTTATAAGATCATGTAATCATGATTGTGTCGTATGTTTATTTATTTACCTGAAAGTAATACAGCTATGTGCAGGTAGGGTAGAGGAGTGTTAACTTAGTCTAATAAGTATATGTGATTTATACTTACAATTATGTGGGTGTAGAGTTTGCTTTAATGTATCTTAATTTTATCTTAAAACTGTCTGAAAATGCTTGTCTTAATTATCTTAAATCTGTCTGAAAAAATCCGTCTGAAAAATTCAGACAAGCTTTTTTCCATTTGCGGGCCATCTTAATTTTATCTGAAAAATGATGTCTTAATTATCTTACTTTTATCTGAAAATTTCAGATGGAAAGACGTGTTGTCTAGAGTTTAATACTGGAAAACAATACATGTATTATTACTTTAACACATATCATTAGTATCTTGCTTCAGTTCCTTAAGCTTATCTATTGCATTACATCTCTACATGATCTTGCCTTACCGTCTAACATAAGTACAGTTCTCAGTGCCTTGACTAGTTCGGACTCGTGGTTCGAGGTTCGGTGTAAACTTTAGAGTTTTGAGTTTGGGTCTTAGAGTTTAAAGTTTGGGGTTTCAAGTATTAGGTTAGAGTCCTCGGTTTGGGATATAAGGTCTGGGGTTTAAGGTTTGAGATTTGCAGTTTGGGTTTCAGGGTTTAGGGTTTGGGGTTGAGGGTTTCATGTTTAGGGTTTGGGGGTTGTGTTTTTTTCTTTTTTAAGTGTGACGGTGCTTGAGGACTAGGGTTTATCTTTTATAGTTTATGGTTCCGTTTTCGGGCCTCGGTTTAGGGTTTAGGGTTTAGAGTTTAGGGTTCGGGGTTTAGGGTTTAGGGTTTAGTGTTTAGAGTTTAGGGTTTAGGGTTTAGGGTTTTGGGTCTAGAGTTCGGGGTTTAGGGTTTGGGGTTTGGGGTTTAGGGTTTAGGGTTTGGGGTTTAGGGTCTTGGGTCTAGAGTTCGGGGTTTATGGTTTAGGGTTTAGGGTTCAGGGTTTAGGATTTATGGTTCGGGGTTTAGGGTTAAGGGTTTTAGAGTTTAGGGTCTAGGGTTTTGGGTTTAGGGTTTAGGGTTTAGGGTTTACACTTTACGGTTTAGGGTTTAAACCGAGTAAGGGAGGAAGGGGGGGAGAAGGACGCGGGATGGCTTCAACCTTAGACCCAGAACCAGAACCATACCTTACCGGAAGCACCCGTCTAAAGGCTCCCTTGACCCCTCGACCTTTAACGACCGCAAACCCAGGACCCCTTGGCGCCACCCCCCCTCCCCCCCCCCCCCTTGCCTTCTGGCAGGGAGCAGTTAAGCCCGAGCCACCAACTCCCCCCCAGTCTAAAAGCCAAGGACTCCCCCTCTCTCCTTTTCCCGCCCCCGACACCCCCCCCGATCAGGACCGCGGGACTATGACGAGCAGGCCCGCCGGAGGAATGGGGTTAACCTGGCAGTATGTGCACTGACTAGCGCAGGAGCCAGGAAGCACGTGTGTGTGTGGCAGCCACGTGTGCTCAAACAAAGAAGTGTGTGCTGCTGCCTCGATCCTGCTCACGGCATGGGTCAGTGTTGCTCGAGAGAGGAGGAGGGCAGCGAGGAGGAGCGCCAAGTGGAGAAGAAAGAGGACGAGTGTGGGCAGCTTTGTGAAGAGCATGGCCGCCCGTGCTGCCGAAAGATGTATCTGGGACTGCGTCCGCACGGCTCGCACTACTGTGAGGAATGTGTTGTACGCTGGTATCAGGATTGGGATGCTGCAAAGAAGAAAGACACGTCCGCAGCGTAGAAGACGCGAACAGATTGCGATGTTCAGGAAAAAAACTGGAGAGTTGCATACTGTGAGCCCTAGTGCATTCTTGTCGCATGTCATGCTCCTTCCTGGAGGCGGTCGATGGATGGGTCGACCTCCCGGAGGACGTACACGCAGGCGCGGCCTAAGGTCAAGGGGGTGCAGGCGAACATGCCTGGAGGCCAAGCACGCCCGGGCAGTGATGCCCGGGAGGTTGGGTGGCGGGAAACTGAATGGCTCGGGCAGTGATGCCCGGGAGGTTGGGTGGCGGGAAACTGAATGGCTCGGGCAGTGATGCCCGGGAGGTTGGGTACACGGAAACTGAATGGCTCGGGCAGTGATGCCCGGGAGGTTGGGTACACAGAAACTGAGTGGCTGAGGCAGGGATGCCTCGACGTGGGCGTGCGTGCCCGTCGCGCTCGGGCGGTCGGGGGGCCGGAGCAGCACGCGTCGAGGCAGAGATGCTCGGGTGCTCAGGCTGACCGGCGGTACATTGGCGGAGGCGACCAGGCGCACAGGACCAGCAAGGGTTGTTGTTTACACATATGGGCGGACTCATGTTGCACGTGTTGATGCGCAGTTGCAGCTGTGACACTTAGTCTCTGCATCTAGACTAGCCTGCTCGAGCCTCTGCGTTTGCACACTCCCCGCTCCGCCTCTGCTTGCCCTTGACATGGCGCCGAAAGGTCGCGGCTCCAAGGCTTCGAAGAGCAGCGGCGACATGACGAAGACCTTGTGGAACGCGCTCTACTACGAGCCCAAAGCTGAAGATGAGGAAGTGAAGAGCTTCCGCTGCGAGAAACTTTTGGAGTTCCGTGCTGCCGGTGAGGACCGGAAGAGGAGCATGATCGCAGAGTTCATGCAGAACGGAAAGAAGATGAAGGCTTGGCACGCCTCCGTCTCCGAGTCCGTCAAAGAAATGAGCGAGGCCAAGGAGGGCAGCATCGAGGGCTGGGCGGACAAGGATGGCATCATGCAGGCGTACCATCTCAGCTGGCAGGATCCCAACCTAGAGCAGAAACTCAGCTGGCTCACTGAAGGCCTGCCTGTCCGCGACCATCGGAACGCGAACTACGCCAAGGCAGGCTACAAGGAGTGGTACTTCAGCAAGGAGACGCTCAAGGAAGTCTCGGCCACCACCCAGCATGCCAAGGAGCTCCGAGCGGACAGCTCCCTGGGCAGCTTGACTGTGTCCAGGAAGCCGGCGGCGGTGGCGAACGTGTCCCAGGCCAGGCAAGACTTCGCCGCCCTTATGAAAGAGGCTGCGCGCGTGGATCGGGAAGTGCACGCAGAGCTAGCCAAGCATCGGGAAGTGGAGCGAGACGCTGAACTTGCTGGCGACATTCCTGAGATGGTTGAGCTCGCGAAGCTGAAGGAGGACCTGGAGACGGCACAGGGCAGGTTCGACCAGGTCATCATGACCAGCAAGCGTTTCCTCGACTTCAGCGAGCAGCAGGCAGCAGAGCACACTACGTCGCTCAGCACCAGTGTGCAGTCGGTGCAGGAGGTCTGCCAGCGCTACCATAACCAGAAGAACACCGTTGTCCGCGCCGTGGGCCGGAAGCGACTCACGGCTGCCCGAGTTTCCATGGACGGCACGCTCACCAGCATCCGGGCTGCACAGGCCTCGGTCCACGCCGAGGTCATGGCAGCGGCCGGGTGCCACGGCTGTCACCCAGGCAACATCTCCCGAGACCTCTGCCGCAAGCTCGTGCCCCTGCTGGCTTCCAGACCTGCTTTCGAGGTGCCGTGTGAAGTCAGCACCAAAGAACCGCAGAGCGGTCGTATGCGACTCGCCTCAGAAAGCCAGCACATACTGCTGCCACATGAGATTCTGGCAGATGTGTGCAGCAGCCTCGAAGCCGAGCGGCTGCTCGGCTTAAGTAAAGGAGAACAGTTCTGGAAGGACTTCGAGGAGAGCGGTGCAATGCAGGACCGGCCTGAACTCGTGGAAGCGCGGGCTACCGAGACACAATTCCTGCTGGCCGGGTTGCCAAAAGCCTGCACGACCACTGCAACGTGGGATCCAGTCTACGAGGCCGTCGTCCGGAGCTTGGAGTGTCTCTATTACGGCGACATCAGTGCCATGGGCGACACGTACGACAGGAGGCGCTGCAAGCAGCTGCCCCCCAAAGCGGTCGTGCTGGTTGTATGGCAGCACCATAAGAAACATTTTGTCCCCTATTTTGAGCTTTCAAATTGTGACACGGTAGAGACCAGCCAGAGAAGCATGTGTGAGGTCCTGGCCGGAGACATGGAAGCGTTGGCTAATGTTTGGCAGTTGCCGTGTCACGCAAGCGCCAGTGTGCTGCGCAGAGTGTGACCAAATGCCTTGGTCGGATTGGCGTAGAGATGCACTCTGGCGGAGCCCCCCCCACCCCCCCCACCCCCCCCACCCCCACCCCCCCCACCCCCCTTCAGCCTGACACCAACCCTCTACCCTCACCCCACCCCCCCCCCCACCCTTTTTAAATCCATGCCCGCCCTGCCCACCCCCCAACCCCCCCATCCCTTCCCTCCTAGGCCCCTACCCCCTACTCCGCCCCATCACCTCCCTACCCGCCGCGCTCCACCCTGCCTTCCGCCCCAACCTTTCCGCCGCCCCCACCCTCTCCCACTCCCACTCCCTAACCCTCCCACCAACCCTCCCCAGCCCTCATCATTACCCCCTCCCACCATCGTGCTCCATCCCCCCAGCTCTCACCGCTCTCGTTGCTTTCATCTCGATGCCCCCCAGTCCACCCCTGCCTTCCGCCCCCAACTCCCTAATCCGACACCAACCCTCTACCGTCACCCCCCACACCCCCCACCCCTTTCCACCCCCACCCACCCCCCCCGCCTGCCCGCGCTCCACCCTGCCTTCCGCCCCAACGCGACTGTCTTGGGTCTGGGGTCAGCGGCACTGGCGATAGCAATTAATTCTTTGTCTGGTCGCAATCCCTGCTGCCCAGAAACCCCGTCAGCGGGCTCCGTCAGCGGGCCCCGTCAGCGGGCCCCGCCAGCGGGCCCCGCCAGCGGGCCCCGCCAGCGGGCCCCGCCAGCGGGCGGGCCTGTGCCAGCGGGCCTGCGCCAGCGGGCCCCGCCAGCGCTCCCACAATTCGAAACAAAACTCGGCCACCTTTCTTGGTTAGTTGTCTTTTTTTGGTCTAGGCGCAATCCCTTTCCCCCCCCCCTCGCCAGCGGGCCCTGCCAGCGCACCAACAATTCGAAACGCAACCCTGTCAGCACACCGTCCTTGGATTGTCCGTTTTTGTCTGGGCACAATCCCTGCTGCCCAGCGGGCCCCACCAGCTCCTCTATTTATGACAAGCAGCTCAAGATCATCCGTCCCTCGCCAGGCCAAAAGATCTTCACATCCAACAAGTGAGCCAGCCACCCCCTACGACGTTTAAGATTTAGCGTTCAGTGTATGTAGCGCAGCCCTAAACCTGAACGCTACAGCTAGAATTCCCGGTGGTTCGTTTCACACAGCCTTGCGTTGCCTGCTTTCAAGAACCGTCACATTCGTCTCTTAAGATCCACTCGGTCCTTCGAACTTCCAAGTCTACATTAGCTAGACCCTTTGACATAGTTCCGACGGTTCGAAACAGTTCCCAACTGTTTGGCTGTTTCCAAACAGGCTCTGAGAGTGTTCTGAAAGCGCCTGAGCGCTGCCTGATGGTTCCACAGCCCCTGTTGGTCCTCAGACACGACCCCAAGCCACCAGGCAGCCCAAGTAATAAGCCCCAGCTTCGGAAAAGGACATGGGTCTGCGACTTCAGCCTTTTAGAGAGGGGCTTGGATTCAAGGGTCAGGGTGGGGATGCTCGAAGTGGTCATTTTAGACACCCAGAGCACGAAGAACCACAAATACATAGAATACCTAGTAGGGTTTTTCCGATCAACAACCACGAAGAACTACAAGCAACAATAGACAAAATGGTATCTGACATACAACTAAAGATTGAGAACTCGTAACTGAGAAAATCGGGTTACCAAATAAAGAAGATTGAGAAGATCATCATACAGTATGACAAATACAACCCCACGAAGAAAGCAAGTTTGCTATAATGGACTTAGTGTCAGGGTTGTTGCCTTTCAACGGTTTAGGAAAGCCCAAAAACCACTTTTTTGGAAGAGAAAAGTGAATTTTAGACCTCCATTTGAGCTGCCAAAGGCAACTTCCGACTGGCATTCCAGCTCGGGCATGCCCTGCTGCCATTCTACAAGGAGATCCAAAATTCACTTTTTCCTGAATAAAAAGGAAACCCGTGTTGTTGCAACCGGATGTTAACCAAAATCAAATCAGATGTTTCAATAAGCGGGGTCAGAGAAAGCATTCAGAGGGACACCTTCAACATTGCACGCCTTTGATGACAGCGCATGTTCGCACAAGTTTCGGGACGAATTAGGCACAAAAGCCTTTGGGAGTCTGTACAACGCATATCCAAGTGAACTGCAAGCTGTTTGATGCTTGAGGATGCATGTTGTCGCTCTGTCTTGTGCTTCTATTGTGTGCTGCGCGTGGCTGTCTTGTGTTTGTTGTGCTGCTTGTCTGTGCTAGCAGGCCAGCTTCAGACCATCACATCGTCAATCTGTACCTGGCAGTTGCAAGGAACATGATGCAGCAAGAGCAGCAAACAATTTTGCAACAAGGCAACATGCACAGAACAGCACAGCACAGCACAGCACAGCACAGCACACAGTGAAGCACACAGTAAAAGCACATTTTTCTCACACCCCTCCCCAAGTTTCAACTTTTCAGCTGGAAGGCCAGCTGACTAGCAAGTGACACTCGATCTAAGTGTTAACTAGCGCTGCTTGTCCTCAGGCAAAACATACTCAGCGGCACAGGGCACACCCTCGGCGATGAGCTTCTTGAGGCATTCTCGCCGCTTCTTTTGGCCAGCAAGCTTGCGCTTCTTGCTGTCCTTCTCAACCACACTCTTGTGGCCCACTGAGTATGCCTCAGATCAAAATTCAAAGCATCCTGCCAAGAAGACATGCTAAAGCTGTACGTTGCAGTCAGATTGACTATTAGGCCAAGAGGCTGAGTTGAGCCTCTTCTTCAAAAGATCCAGGTCGGACTCGTTCTTGGCCTTGTCTTTTGTAGCAGCCTTGTTGCCCTTCTTCTGCGTTGGCTTGGAGTTCTTCGTGCTCTCGATCTCCTGGCGCTTTTTGCGCTTGATCTCGTCCTTGATCTTGAGTTCGCCTTCAATCTCCTGATGCAGGTCGTCAAGGAATGCGTCCAAGCGAGCCTCGTGGATGCTGTCCTCGATCCTCGGCCCACCAATTGGCTCAGACTCAACAGCTGCAGGCTTGGCACTGTCCTCTGCCTCGCCGATCTCCCCGAAAATGTGGAGCTCGGTCTCCAAGTCACTGTGCGACTCGTAGAAATCAGCAACGACTTGGTTGCGATCTAGAATGTTCTGGAGCTCGTCCGTCCCCTCGAAGAGGTCGTCCACTTCGTCGAGCGGCAACTGGTCTGCGGCTTCAACATCCTTGGACTCGTCAGCCCCCAGAATAAGAGTTTCAGCTTGAGAATCGAAGATGTCATCGGAGTTCTCGAAAGCCCGGAGCCGCTGCAACGTGTTCTCCTGGCGAATCAAAGTCTTACACGGGAATCAGGCTTAGAAATCATCAGAAGAAATCAAGTGCCTTCAGGGAGTCGGAGGCTGAGGCCATTCTTGTACCCGAGTCTTCAGCCCCTTCGTCCGTCCTGCAGTGTCGACCATCTGTCAATTGCTTTCATTATGCCGCGTTTTAACAACATCAGGGTCCTATCCGCGGCAGCGGCTACTGCGTCGGAGGAGTCCGCAGTCTTCTGCGCAATGGCTCGGCAACATAAAACTCTAAGACCAACCACGCAAGGCGTGCAAAATTGCCTTCGTCTTCGGATTCTTCTTTTTAGCAGGCTTGGGTCCTGGCTTCTTGGCCGCGCCTGTCAACTCATCTTCTGAGAATGGGCTGACCACACGACATGCTGAGTCTGTGGCCTGAAGTTCGGCTTGCCGGCTTCTTTCTGGGGGGCTCTGCGTCCTCTTCGTCGTCGTCCTCATCACGGCCCCCTGCAGCATCCTCAGCACTGTCGGCATCGGTCTCTGTCTTCTTCTGCTTCTTCTTGCCTTTGGCTTTCGCCTTGGCCTTGGGCTTTTTCTTGTCTTCCTTCGGAGCCGCCACCTCCGTCATCAGAGTCCCCACTGCCATCAGCTTGGTAAGGCTTGGGGCATGCATCTGTGCGGACCGTCGATGGTCCAGCAGCAGATGTTCCAGCATCGCCAGCTGAATCAGCCAACTTGGTTGCCCCGAGCCTGGCAATTGACGCCCTGGACTCATTCCTAGGAGTAGGCGTAGGTCCCCTGATCTGGCCAGGCCTGCGTTGGCCAGAAGCGTCACCTTTCAGGAAGGTGTCCAAGTTGAAAGCCTGAGTTTGCACAGATGCAGCTAGTCGAAAGGTGTTAAGAGCATCATGCTAAGGCTAATCATGGTACGCGCTGGGCGTCCTGCTGGGGCAATCGTCTCAAAACTCTTGGCAGAGCCACCACCCACACACTCCACGGAACTCGAGTCTTCATCAGACTCCAAGTCATGGAAGTCCAAGCTGCGCTTTGCCCCTGCCATCCTGTCAGAAAGCACAGTACAATGACAAGCAAACAACATGCTTCCACACAATGAATCAATGACGGCCTCAGTGGCTCTGAGGCACTTCAGCTACGAAAGTGTGAAAAAATGCTGCTGCAGAACAATAAGTGTATTGCACGCGCTTGCAGCATGTCGCACTGCCATGCAAAAGACACCGCTCCCAAACAACAAGCAACAAGAAGCATTGAGGGCAGCCACTCGACACAACAAGTTTGCATTCTGCGCAAAGCACACTGTCCAATCACATACCGCAACGCACTACTTGAAGTAGACTGTCACAGATCAAATGGGTGTCAGGTCGCAAGCTCACAGTAGGCAGTTCGTGGGATTTGCTTGGCTGGTGTTTTGCATATTGCAAATATCGTATTCTAAATCGAAGCCATGTGCCTGTGACCGTTGCTGCAGAAAACTTCTGCTAATCAAAGCAGCTCTTTGCAAGCTTGCTTACATCAAGCGAACAATGGTATCGGCTGCCAAGTTCAGAAGGCCACATAGCATTGCCACCGGCCGCTGGGGAACAAGTTTCGCCCCAGCACGGCCTTCTGATTCCAACCTGCCACCAACACATAAAAATGAACAGTCTGCTTCCTTGCAAAAACAAGCAGACCTGATTCAAGTTCCAAGGCCTGAGACGCCAGCCAATCTTCAATGTTGGACTCGAAGTCAAACCTGAGATGTCCAGCTTGGCACCGAAGGTCAACGA